TAAAATCAAAACAGGATTGGTAAGTTGGGCCCAGTTTTTACTTCAAACTCGTATGAGGACGGGTGGTAACTCAAAAGGATAAGTTTACGAGACCTGATCCTCACGCGCAAGAAATGCCTGACACTATACCAATCTGTTCGCTCAAATTTCGAGATCAAATTTTTCAGACAAGCAAATTGGTTTCCAAAGGGTGAGAAAACGCAACATTTGAGATGGGTTGGGTGATCATTTTTGATACAGCGAATGACAGGAGAGAATGAATTCTGGCCCACCACATCGGAAAAAGTATCCAAAGTTAGCATCACTAATTGCATGTATCCTGAATGTGAGTGATTTGCGCTTAGTTTTCCTACCGTTCTTGAAGTTCTAAGCACACAACAGTGAAACAATTAACATTTTGAGTGACCAATTGCACCAGGTTCATTCAAGTTGCGCTTATGAGCTATAAGTCATACAGGAATAGCAAATTGGTCCCATCTGTTGCAGTTTTAAGCATCGGAAGAAAACAGCATTCAAATGATAGTGCTAAACATTAAAGCCGATGACACAGTAAGTTTGTATAGAATCAACCCATTTATCTAAAGCGCCGAGAAATCTAAGCAGCTGCGCTCTAAAGACCACAGTCTTGACGAACAAGCACTACGCAATGCGCGATTGGACCATATTTTTCGATGTCAATTACCATTCATGAATTGAGTCCCCGTCTAGGAAAGGCACAGTTCTTTCAGGCCATGGACTGTCCGGACCTCGGTCGTTCCCACCCACCATGCAGTGTCCTCATAAGCAATCCTTGCTCGGGGCCATGGTGTTTGAATATCCTTAGTTAAATGACACTGGGAAAAACATTTATGGTGCATTCTTATTGAAGTTTCGCCACGGTAAATAGGATCTTCATGAATCATGTGATACAATCTCACAAATTTATTCATTTCATCTCTATACATAAAGTATATCCTCATCAGCACAAGCTTCCTACGACGTTTGGACAGCAGGGCACGTTCACTAAGGTTGTCTCACCGGAACTTGTCCTCACATCTCAAATCTAATTAGTTTTTTTGACGCCTCTCACGTTTTCAGACAGCGAATCACAAATTTAGCAGGACAGGAGAATGACTTAATGGATCATCCTGAATATGATGACGTAAGACCGACTGACTGATACGCTACGTTTCCTTAATTTGGTGTTTTACAATGTACATTTCAGCTAGCTGGTAGCAAAATTTAGCTGAGCATTTTTGTTCAGAGAAACACCTGCTTTACTTCAAGCAGTGAATACTTTTCAGATAACTCATATGTGAAACAGATGGTGCAATTCGTGAAACGATTTGGTGCAAACGTATTCCCTCAGCGTCATTACTATTGCCCTAATTGCACAATATGGATTTTCAGAGAGCTGCTTGCATAAACTTTAGGTTGTGTTCTGCAGTTACCTTCTTACTTTCGAATTCGAATTACTGTGGTATTCCCCACCAGTTACGGTTTGCACCTACCAGAAAAAATAAACGCACCTGCTACCACCTGCTGTGGTGTCTCCGTGTTACAGAATATATACGTACCATCTGACTAGCTGGATTTGAGATAGGGCTGTGGTCAGCAGTGAAATTTTCTTCACCTGAAAATGTGCCTGTGCATTGTCGGTTTTCGGTATCCACTGGTTATTTCTCTTTACCAGCTCGGGTCAAATCACAGATGTCCTACCGAAATTTACGACTTAAGAAAAAACTTGGTAGCGCTAAACATGTCTGAACCTACTAGTGGGACGTACCTGTGTGACTGAAAGTTTTGCACTACCGAATTTGTTAAAACAAGATAAATCCTAGTAAATATGGGACATTCCTTGAAAAACCTGGGAATGTTGTATCCACACTCAAATGTCTCACGCTCTGTACTCATTCCCTGCACAGCTCAACTGATTAGATTCATCAGTGCCGTTTACTTTAGCCATGACGCAACGAGTCAGCTGACCATTGCTTTAGTAACAAAGTTGCGTTAGAAAGGCCGCCAAGTAAATTTCATTGATTTAACCGCTCTCAGTCGCTGCTTTTTAGTGGCCTAGTTGTACACCTGGATAGTAAAGTTTCGGTTCGACAATCGACGGGCTCCCACATTTCCGTATTAGCCGAAATCAACACCCAGTGTAAATAAATCGGGCCTGCGTACCGTTGGGGAATGTATTTTGAACCATGCAAAAGAAAGCATCTGTTCGCTAAGACGGTTTCAAACGCGAGTTCAGAATACGAAATGAAATATTGCCGCTAAAAACGACACGGGGTATTGCACGAATAAAGGAGCGCTTCCCACATGGCAAGAGTTTTGCGGGCGAAACACTCAACAGGGAACAGACACGCTTGATGAAATAGCCCTTGAAAGATAAACTTGAATAATGGAGAAGAAGCAGGTAATTTTGTTGATAACGTCAGTTTTGCGCACTTTTTTACCTCATTTAACACTCATGTTACCCTAGCACGTATGCTATTCTTACGAGTTTGTGCATTCAAGTGCTAAATTTCGCTCCCAACTAATTTGGGTTTCAAACTTGTAAAGAATTATTTATAGTGTACCAATATGTATGGTTATCAATCAACATCAAATATCCCTAATCTCCTACTGTACTTCTCTACTCTCCTACTCTACTCTACTAATCTCCTACTCTACTCTACAAGTACAAGAATAGTAAAATTCGCCCACTGGGTGAAGTTTCCATCTGAAAGGTCTTTGCTCAAGGAACCAGTCATTGCGTGTGATCACGTGATGTAGATCCTGTGGTTGAAGGAGGAGCAGAGGTACATCCTGTTTACGTGTAAGGAACCGCTTGTAGCAGAAGAGTCAAGGTTACACAGGTGGTGGTACGTCTCAGACGAACACTGCTGATGATTCCCAATGAGGATGAAACAGTTGTACAGTGCATAGATTAGCTTCACTTTTGGGATGAAATCTCCACAAAAATTTCCAAATCGCTTCATACTTCCAGCAATTTATTTGTACTGCAGTAAAGTGCATACAAACGTTCTGAGTACGTGGCCAGAGATTCCGCTCACAAAGAATGTAGTTGGACTCGTGGTGTTATACGGTTAGGTAGCTAGTGTCCCTGCGAAGGTTCAGTTTTCCATTGAAAGCTAATTTTTTGACACTGCTTGGAGAATAAATGTCCCCCTTCCTACCGTTCGCTTCTGAAATTCGTCCATCCAAGGATGAAATGCTTTCTACAAAATAGAGTTTTAACAACGTCGAATAATTCAGTGTCATCTTACGATGACTGTTGTTGTAAACGGTTAGTTTCACTGAAGTCCCCATCCCCATATAAACGGAATGTTCAATTAAATCACTTTCGGATTAGAGATTAAATTTAACGGTAAAATTATGTTATTTCGGTCACACAACGGAGGCCAGCAACCGTAGTATTTGGTACACCAAGGCAGAGTCAACGCATTCAAGTAAATTTTCTGTCCACACAAAGTTGGTTGGAGCAGTCGGATGGTGATTGCCTTTGCGTTTTTCGTAAGAGCCTTGGGTCAGTTTGGTCGCTTCGGATACATCAGGCTAATTGGCTCAGTCAGACTGATCCGACGCGTTTCATCGTTCAACTGGACAGCAGTCACGCCAATCACGTGTTTCGATTGTCTGGTACCGCTGCTTGACGACATCTGCTCAACGTTGATTTGCGATAATTGTCAGAGCGTCCAACTGAGGTAGCGTACGAGGCATCTACAAACGAATGATTCCGTTACCACAGCGCTTCGTTGACCAGTATTGAGCTCACCGACCGATCACTACTTAACTTGCCTAACTAATGAACCGGTTAGGTTACGAGTTCAAATGAACTGTTACTTCTGAATGATAGATTAAGCTGATGGCTTTTGTCGTAATCGACAGGATTCGTGGGGTATTTTCACATGCTTCTCCAGGCTTCTTCCATAAAAGTTCACGCTTTGCACGTCAATTGCGCTAATACATTTCAACCCTGCTAGCATTATGAACAGCGTTCTCTGGACGATTGAAACGACGTAGCTCGTACTCCATGCCTACAAAGTTACAAAAGTGTATTTTCCGGCCAAAACAGAATAATCTCCTGTATACGCCCCATTTAATCCTCGCTCACCACTTTCTTCTCGGTGATTTGGAGTGTCTAATGTGCCGCATGTCGTGTGTCCAGCACCCCTGGATTACAATGTGACAATCAAGGGGAACAAAATTATCTACATAAACTTAATGAACTGCTGATTGCTTAAAATAGCATGTTTTTTTTCTGGTAACAACATCTGTCAAAATTGGATAATGGAAGCATGTACAGCTGCTCTATAGATAGAACCAGTAAGTGGATAGCCTCACTGATATTCGACTGGATGGTCCATGATTCCAGATTTTAAAAGACCAACATAAGAACTGATAGATTTCGGCATGGAAACATTTTTTGGCTATATGTGGTGTAACGCTAGCAAATGATCAACACGGACAAAAACTGAACTTGTTCTGTGTCGACTCTGAAACAGAAACAACACTAAAATGAGGATGAATCCGCAAGTTTTGAGCGAAAAAGCAGTTGCTTTATCAGTCAGCACAGCGTACTTTGTAGATTCACTGTACAATGTAAACCATGGTTAACTGGTGAAAAATGGCATATATCTTTGTTTATTGGAATTCTGAAAGTCATTCTGAGCGCCACAGTGACCAGGTACCTGGGTGTCATCGAATAGGCAGGCCTAATATTTCACACTATTTGTATTCATAAGTTAGACAAACCGACCGTCGACTCTCAGTAGGGTGACTGGACTGCCTAATTGGAATGACGATAACCTGCGGAGGCTTCCGTCAAATTTCGTCTCTTGATGGTACATCGAAGTTAAACTACTTAAATGGAAACAACATGTAACTCAGATGTTCTTCTATTCGCTCCAGCTCACACGGTGTTTTGTAAGATCAGCTAAAGGGATATCACTAGCCAGTTCCAACTCTTTCCAAATCGTCTAAGATGGCATTTCACTTTTTTTCCTCTGTTTTAGCCGAATACTATCATGCGAAACTGCTTATGCGTTGTGGTATTCTAGCAAGCTTTTGTGCCTTTGTGGTTGGACTACTGCGTATCCTGATGCCAAAGGCTAAAAATTCAAGGCGATGCCGGATTCTCCAGTTCGGCAGCTTGGTAACTGCCTGTAAGTACCTGATTATACAACTTATGTGTGATCACTCTCTGATGTCTACAAATGTCACTATAGTATAGCACTGGAAGAAAATTAAACTTGTCCGAGCAGAAATTATAAAGTGCATGAATATATGTTTAAACTTGTTTCCATGTGAAATGAATAAGATATTCACAATTTTTCAAACTGTGACACCAGTGTCATATCACCATACACCCGTAGGAACAGTCTGTTTTGGTAGCAGTAAACTCATTGGATACAGAAAGAATTTTGTTCAGCTATCTTAAGCGTTGGTTATATGTTTCAAGAAAAAGCCGGGTTATATAAAGAGGAACATTTCGAATAATTCTGAATAAAGAAAGGCTGGTCTAACGTTCTTCACAACGACACATTGCTGACATATTAGCACCGGAGTTAAGACTTTCCAGAAACCATAAATAGTTAATAGGGCTTTTATAGCTGCCTAATTCTCCTTCGCCAATGAACTCGAAGATGTAGATGGACTTTACGCTTGATATATCACTCCGTCTCCTTTTAAGTAATTAGAAATTTGCGTATTGTGCCACAGATGAGCAAAGTGAGCCCTTTCTTAGAGGTAAGCTGATTACACGACGTGAAGCAATCACACCCGTATTGAATTTTTGTGACCCGAGGAAATTCACGGTTTTTATTGCTGGAAACAAGGTGGGATCAAAAATGGCATACATCCCGTAGCTGATCACCCACTAAACTCATCGCTTAACGTGGGTGCTACAAATAGAGAAAGTGGCGGATAATAATAATGAGGAAAATCTAATTCGAGAAGGTCCTCGATCTCTGCATAAATATGGTGGCCCTTCATTGCCAGACACACCGAAAACTCTGCCAGTGTCTACATAACTCCCGTAGATTGGTTTATTGTTTATTTATATATCTCTAGAAATAAAAGTGATGCATGTTTTCATAAATTCTGTATTTTACGCTGATTCCAAGTATTCTAGACAGAATCAGATTGATAAATGAGAGGCCGAAATGTGGACTTCGTTGTATGTTTCAGAACTGATTAATTTCTCCTGGATAATCACCGCCATAGGCTATACAGGATGATACCCTCCTAATAAAAAAGTATTTTCCACCACCAGAGTTTCTCATGCTCCACGGAGCTTTCAGGCATTCGCTGAACATCTACTACCTGGTATTCTGGGGACCATTGCTTACATTCATTAGTTGAGTGTGTGGCGCTTCTCACACCTTGCTGCACCACACTGAAATTTCAAAGATCCTGAACATGGTTCTTGAACCAGTTAGCCTGAATCTGTTCAGATGTTTCTCCCCCTCTGGGACGTGATGACAGCCCGCGTCGTGTTAAAAATGGCTGAAAATTTTGTGTCATCTTGCACCAGCAATTTTAGGATAAATACCGTAGATCCTGAGTCTACATTATTATCTCAGGCTGCATAAAATAGTGACAAAATTTGCTACAGATTAAGTTTCATCCAGCTGTGCAGTAAAATCAGCAACTACAACATTAACAACAACAGCATCTCAATAATATGCCAATGTAACGCCGTATACTACTAATGAGACATGTGAGAAGTCTGCGGTCATGTGGAAGCTCCGCACCGCGTCAAATGGAAGGTGGATTTCATTACGGAACTTGCGAAACTGCTTAGTGCATTCGTTCACAATTTCGTAACGATCATCTAATATCCACGGACGTTCAATACGACACTTTAGAATGTTCTAAAAATGTTCCAAAAACTACATGCTTATGTAGCGTTTACTTTCCTGTCCATTAGCTTGTAACTGGATATTTCTTGTTTTTTATTAGACCACTTCGTGCAGGCCGGTTCTGCTTCTTTCACCAGCAGTGCACACTGACGCATACCTTCCAAAAAAACATGCTTGCAACTATGAATAAGACTTCTAAATTAATACACACAAGTGTCTTTTTGGCTTAGAGCACCTTTAGGCGAAGTGAAGAATCACCCGACGCAAACCTCACCCAAAATAAATCCAAGGCAAAACGATCAAAAAGCTTTAGCTTAGCGTTCCGGATAGAAGCTGTTGGTATGCTTACCACAGCGGTGTTTTCTGTGAGGTTTCTGATCACCCCTTGTAAGGGGCACGTGGATGTGAACATCCCAAACTATTTCGATTGTCTGCAGCCGCTTTCATTTCATCTTGCTGACCCGCCAAACATTCTCAACCGGCGACATTTTAAAACTCGGCATCAATGTTAACATTGGCATGTTATACTTTTATTTCATATAACGAACACGCTAACCTTTCCGTTTTCCTGCCACTTTAATGATTCGCTTTGGCTATCAGTTACAAGCATGCAGTGTTTCGTTTCAGACAGTATGAAACTAAGAAACTCCTTCAGTGAATTAAAGACGCTGGTGATGATGATGAAAGTAGTCAGAACAAGGAATTAGCTTTTGGATAGACATAGTTATACTATGCTTACAACTGCCTTGTAAAGACGGCTTTTCGGCTCCGGTTGACTTGGTTTCCGATATCCTAGCTGACAATTTGGTGGATCGTGGACTTGTCATGGTATTGTTTTCAGCTGTTTAGTTTACATGGCTGATACTTATCGCGCAGTGCACTTTGTGCGAAACACCCGGATCCACCGGCTTAATCGGTCTGATTTTTTATTTTCGCAATTAATACTGGTCGGAAAAAGGCGGTGATTGATGCAAGCAAAGGTTTTCCATCTCCTCTGTCGACTCTGAAGTGACCGTACTGATGTATTTTTAATGAAGCTGAGCGAAGATTTGTGGGCTTCGTCTGTTTGAAATAAAATAGAAAGCTGAATCAACTTCCACAAAAAATCGCTTTATCGCCAGAAACAACATTGGTTATACTAAGTGACATCACTTTTGGAAAGCACTGAACTTGAACAATAATAGGCTTTTACCAGTGGTGGTAGACAGAAATAGTATGTTCTGTAAGGCCATAACTAACTCATGTCACATGGCTGATTTCATTGACATCTCGGCTGAGAAATTTTTAGACAGATTTCATGTGCTAGTGATACAATCTGTGAGTAACTTTTGCTTGTAGTTGACAGGGCCACGACCGCCGCCAGTGAACACCAGGCCAGTTCAAGAATAAGTTTCAGAACAAGCCGTATGAAAATGGGCTATCCTCATTCGTGTGTAATTTTTGCGAGCAAAATTTAGCCTGGAGGGAATTCAGCCTTAGGGACACAGGAAGCCTTACGCAGGTGAAACTCGATGAGAATTCCCAAACAAATTCAGGAAACTGTTCGATTTTTGCTGTTATATGAAAAATTGGGTGGTGATATCGGTCAATGCGACGCACGTTTGTTCACTGACCAGTGATAAATGTCCAAGATAAGTTTTTGCATTCTTCCAAGTGCAACGCTTGTCATCACTTCCTTGGCGATCGTCACGCAAGTTTCACGAATGACACTTAACTACTCAACAGCAGGCGATTCTATCGCCACTCATTTCGTCGACAGAGTCGACACAATAAAAGTATAAATACATGCACAATTGGAGGCTAATTCTGTTCTATCTCCACCGAGCTAAGCAAAAGTAAGTAAAAAATAAAATTGTGAAATTATGGAGTTATGAATCAAATTATGAAAGGAACCCAAATACTCTTCGGCAAAAGGTTGCTTTGGCTTGGAAGTGATTTTTGTATCCCTCTGTCAAGGCTCCATGGAAATCATGGGGTCTGTCCTGCTTAGATATAAATCATTTACTATAGGTTGGAAAGTGACGATTGTCAAGGCCAAAGCTATCTCTGACCAGCTGTTGGTGGCGTTCAAAAATTGTAACCAGACGAGACAAGCGTCAGACAACCCATCAGACCAACCTATAAAAAGCGTATCTAGCAAGCCACTTGCAAGTGCGACTTCGACCACAAATGCAGTGTGGGATTTCGCTTCCGTAATCTGTAGCAATTCAAGCATGTGGTTCATGTTAACAACACTGAAAAGAACTGAAAAGATCGCATTAGAGATGTGGGTTTCCTTAAGCTGTGGTGCCTTCCAATAAGACACCAGGTAAATCTAAATTTGGATTTTTAGAGCTGCTTAGGTTGACAAGATGTAGGCACCCATGGCGCTACTGAACAGATGTATTTAAAGTAAACTTGCTTGTCTGATGACAGGCACATTTTGAAGCGAAAATAAACTTTCAGGAGAGTTTTACACAGAATATTCTGGCTACCTTTTGCTTGAGTATGAAGAAATCATTTAGTTCCGGAGGTCTGTGAGTGAAAATTGTGTCCATCTAGAGCAAACAACAAAAAATACCGGAAGCACTTCCGCTTATTCGATCCTTCAATCAACCAAACTGTACAATTAGAGGTGGATGTCAATTTGTGCAGTCAACAGTTTGCACATACAAAACCTGGCCATTTTATGTTTCCTTGTGGTTTTACACTGAGGTTGTCCGAAAAGTGGCAGAATTGAGTGCGTCGAACTCTTTTCACTAACCTTATGGGTAGTGTGTTTATGCCACGAAAATGTTCCCATGTCTCAGAGATGGTGCTAGCGGAAACATGAGGCAGTTTTTGCAGAACATTTAATCCTGGAAAGTGTCAGGCAGGGACATAGTGTACCAATCATATTCCAAGGAAACCTCTTCATGGTCGCCTTTTTTCTTATCTCATTTTTGGAAAGTTCATTGTGGAATAAAAGCCTAAATACACGACCGGTCATATCTCAAACTGGTTTATTTCGGTGAAATTAGTTCTAGCCCTCAGTTAAAACGTAACATGTTACAAGAATCCTTCACTTTTTCCATTTTAGAAGATGCGTTGGGCAAAGTCCGACGAAGCAGTAATTATGATGATGATGATGATGGTGGTGGTGGTGGTGGTGGTGGAACTAGTAATGATGTTGATGCTGATGATAACCGTGATGTGGTATCTCTAGTGACGTGTAATTCGGTTTTCAAGTACGAGATAAGAGTGGAATCTAACCACCTTTGCTTGTCAGAAGAAAGATTAATCCGGTCACGGGCTATCGAAGAGTTTTCATCAACCTTATAAGTGGTGCCGTGTCACGTGACGCATCTCCAGCCTAGCAGTATCCTTGAGTTGCCGTTGATCCCCGTGCCTTAATGAGTCCAAAATGCAGTCCAATTTGAAGGGATTTCGTTAAATGACAACATTTTGGGAGAAACAAGTGAAGTGTGGTTATTCGAATTAAAATGGTATCCAACAGATACAATAATATTAACCTGGACGAGGAAGGGTGCGAATAAAATAAACAATAAATGTTTAGTGGTGGCCGCAATAACACGCTTCGCCGGGGCAAAAAACAATTCGTCATATTGTGCGTGTCTTTACAGTATTTACAAATACATTAGAATTCCGCAGAAAAAAATGCCCCGCTGATCTTTTCGCAAATGCTCATTCCGAAACACAGAAATAAATGGAAAACCTTTTTTTCATGGGAAGTGTTCATGTTCCTAAAAATAATTGTAAGCAGAAGCCTAGAAGAAAACACCTGTGTCACACGATTCTGTCCCAAATAACTACACTATCCTTGCAGCTATTTATTCCCATATGTGAAATCTTGCTCTGGTAGAAAGTGCTTGATGTGACTGGCGCACACATTCGTCATCCTACATTCATTTAGGATGGAATGAGTGCTCGTGTCGCCCCTGCGAATACCAGTTTGCACGCAACTGGGTAAACAAAACGGTTAACTGCTAAGAATGATCAAAATTTTGTCTGAATTGTAAGCTGTCTGTTGACGGTCGACCGTGATGAGTCTAGAATGCGGCATTGTCTTTCTGACTGCTAATGGATAAACGAACCCTCGTGCCCCCGCTGTGAGACATAGCATTCGCCAAAATTTGATCAACCCACCATCGTCAGACTGCATCGAATCGTCCAATTAATCTTAATTAGTCGGTTGTATTATCACGTCTGCCTAGGTTCACATTCATAAAGGATGGTGTGCAGACGCTTTTCAAACAATGAAAATTCATCACATGGGCGTAGGGAACTCATGAGCGAAAATTGAGGATTCTTATTCGTTTACTGAATAAGTGGCCTTCCGAAGGATATTTGCAATTTGGCGGGTGTTTGGTTTGCTTATCAAAGTCGAGAATGGGGGAAAACGAAACACGGGAATCTATTATCTATAGAACATTTTACTGACCACTTTTGGTGTGATTTGAGATCATAAAAGCATTAAGGGGATAGGACTGATTTTTTAACCGTATTTAAAATACGGGGTACCGACTACCATTGTGTGCTATAGCATTTCTCCCATCAATATTTTTGGACGGGACCAAACAAACGCTGGGTTTTCAAACTTGGAAGCTAAAGTCTACAAATAACTCGCTTTGGTGTTATGTAATGTAAACATGATCCCACAAACTAGCCATTTGTCATCAGCAACTGGACCAAGAAACGTTTCAGAATGTATTTTACAATGAACCAACCAAATCAAAATGAAATTGAAAAGTTAACACAAGCTTCACAGTCATATCAATGCGTGCACGTGTACCAGCTTTCCTTTCCCAACAACCCAATCTAACCATCTTCCAGTATATTAATGATAATTCCACTGAGCCATCAAGTGTGCATCAGTAGGATGGAGCGGATTATGTGTGACACAGTCAAATTCAAAGTGGAGCCCAACATGATATGAAAAACTAAAACGAAGCTTACCTGTGCTTTCACTAATTTGAAGGTAGGTGACTATGTAGTTAAAGAAATCTATATCTTAATAATATAATTTTCACGACTTTACTTGGACATATATACCTCACCTGTATGGCTTCCAGGATTTTCACTGTTCCGATATACCGTTATGATACTCCAAAGTTCGTGAATTGTTGGTCGAAATTAAGGCTCCATAGCGAAGTACAGCATTTTTGGCGCCTGCGCTTGTATTGAACACAAATTTTGGACACAAATTCGGCCCACTAAAATCTGTATTACCAGTAAATTTTTAACCTGTTCTTACATCTGCATCTCTGTGGTAAACTACGCAGCATTCACAAGAACAACTTTTGCACATGCGCTTCACCGCCAGTGCAAGGAAGAATACTGTTCGTTAGCAAACACCAACCACATGTTGCCAGCTATTGGACAGGAAAGCAAACATCTCATATTCATCTTATTTTTTTTAAATTAACCATCCTCACGCTTCTTCTTGAACTGTCGTGGATATTCATTGATTATCACGTAATTGTAAACGAATGCTGCCAAGTGGTTCCATAGAATGCTTAATAAACCCCACTTTCCACTCAACGCGAGGCGGGGTCACTAGAAGACCACATACTACTCGCATACCTCATCAGTAGCAACCGCCGTTACACCATATCAAAAAATGCTTCTCCTACGGTATACTATGGGTGTAAGGCCGAAACCAGACAGATGGTGTTGGTACGAGACTTCTTGTTAATTCAGGTATAGTTGATACATGTAGGGTGACGTCAGCATAGACGCCTTCAAGTAGAAATGGTATACCTAGGAATTTACTCTACGTACACTGGTGATACATTTTTGTTAAGCAGCTTGGTAAACGTGGTCATACTGCAGGTGTTCAACACAATCTATTCTGTTGTTAATTTCATGTGTGGAACAAAAAGTGACTGAAGTTCTTGGAGCTGGATATATTCTCTTTTTGCGGTGAGCTGATGTGAGGACTAAAACCTTGGGTTTGTTAGTACAAATATTCCGCAAGTTTTGTTCCACTGATTTTGAAAAGGACCTTGTTAGGTTGTCTGTATGACAAGACAGCAGAGATTTGCATGTCCCAACCCTGTCTAGTGAGCCAGGTTTACTCCTTAACACCTTGCGTGGCAACAGCTGTCCAGACAAGTCATGCGACGGAAAATGGGGGAAACCATAGAAAGCCGTTGAATAACGGTGTAGCGTAAAACCCAGTTTATTTCCGCCTAACATTTAGGAGTGATTTGGTAAGTGGACTCCCAAAACTTCAAATTTAACATTTGTCCACGCAAAGCATGTGGCAGGTAAACCAAGCAGGCTGTTGAACTTAGTATCCTTGTGTTCAACTGATCACGTGTCTAACAAGTCTACCTCAAAAAGATGCTGATTGAAGTTTCGTTTCTCTTCTGCGTAGTCAGCTAGGCCGTTTACACTAAAAAAAAACACTGTGCCACGTCTATACAAATCACTTTTTTCACCAGCTCTATGAATGGTTAATGCGTACTCAGTGATATGTTTGTAATCAGCCCAGTGACTAATTGTTGTAAGGCGTTCCGTGGTATTTAATCTGCTCGTATCATGCATATGTATACAAGTTGCGGATGTGGTGTAAATGCCAGACGTCTCTTGAAAACTATCTGGGTCATATTTAAATGGTACTAGACGTTATTAAATCAATTACTGCTTCTCATCATTTGCTTTCGAACCATCCCAATTGTTTCAACTCAGTCGTCAGCATACTGGCTTCCGTGGCCGCCTGGGCTGACTATCTACGACACGATGACCTGGCGAAATCGGCGGGCTTTGAAAGGCAGAATTTTGCAATGTGGCCGTTGACGCCCAACGCTTGGTCAGCAAACGGATCCTTCAGAATTGGTGAAATTCGAAGGGCTGCAAAGAGCCTATTCGAGACACATGCACACCACTCGCCCACCATCCTGCTTGGCTGGGCCTACTGGTTTTCTGTCGCCTCAGTTTTGTTTCTGTTCTTTGCCAATTTACTTTACCTCATGCGAAAAGATTGTAAAACGGACCAACACAATCAATCTTTTGTTCCCAACCGACGAACTGGTTATTTTTGATGTGATTGTATGCCTGTGTGTGTGAGTTGTCTTGAAAATTTACACTCTTTTCCGTTTGTATTACCAATGGCTATTTTGTTATGCTGACACAAATAAATTCTCGTTGATAGAAGTGTTTTCAGTGAATACATCATTGAGCGGTAGGTTAGAATCAATAAGTAAGAATCAACTACACATCAGGAGCATGGGAATAACTCATATTCTGTTATTCTTCACAAACCACCAGCAGTTTGTTTTGAATCCTTTTCTATCACATCAGAACTGACGGATGGCATGTGCTACGAGCTGATTACACTCCTCTCATGCGCTTCGTTCGTGAACACCAAGCACACTATTGATGGTTACATATACACATACATAAACGGTGGAATACTCACACGCGCACAAAAATTCACTGATGAGGTAGCAGCGCCTCAGCTATATTCGAGCCTATTCTGTGTAAAACCAGTCTCAGTACACTTGTCGTTCAAACCGAAAAGCTATAAGCAATAAGCCATCACCACATTGTACAAGCTGCTATACGGTTGCACCTAAGCCAGGTGGGTCCCATCTGACCCATGATGGCTTTGTTTCGCTTTCCACAAAATTTCGACAAACCAAGCTGATGGGACCCACTGTGGCGGAAATATAGGGCCGTGCAAAGGGAGAGCCAGAGGAACATCTACGAAATACCTCACTGGATTAGTAAAACAACCAAATTGATGTTATGCTTTGCTGGTTTCTAAGAACACGCAGCTCAACTGGGCTATGACAAACTATGGTGGTTGAAAAGTATAGCAAACCATTGATAATCACAAGTAGTGTCGGTGCACTACAATAAAAAGCGAAGGCAGTACTTTTGGCATTCAATTAAAATGAGGCCAAAGATATGGGCATTGTATGTGGACGTAACCTGGTGGCATTTTGTGGCATTAACGAAGCTGATTGTGATTAACCCAAAAACTACCGGGCGGTGAGAATTGATAGGTGTAATAGAGAAATATAAAAGTATCTGCAATATGGTGAGTACTATTTTCTTTATGAGGGCAAAAACATGGATATAAATAGCCTCCCCTTTCATGGAAGCAACCCACCCGATAGCGCTTGACTTTGGAGGTGCACGTGCTTGGGGATGAGCACTGTAATACAATGTTGCATAAGATGCCTTCTGTCATTTCTAACCCAGTTGGGAAAAGTTTACAGCTTGACCAATCCCTGTATCGACATTTGCCGAGTTTAAGTCCGAACTGATTCGGTGCTATCCTAAGCGAGTCCAGTGTTTAGCTTTATGAAACTGCTTGAAAGCTTACAAGTTCTGTATAACAGCCAAGGCACAATTTGTTTGTGATTCCCATAAAAGCGTCGCTTAACTCCATTTTCCCTTGATATTCCAGAATGGGATAGACTAACTGTACACAAAAGTTTCTCAAAGCCTCTTTACTCACATCAGATGGTACAACAGAACTCGGGGCTGGTTTTCCGTCCCCTGCTTTTTCGCCCATGTCTTTTACAAAGCATCATCAGATCTCTTTAAAAAGAGCAAATACACTTGGCTTAAACTCAAACTAAGAAACTTGCAATATATAGGTGACTGACTGCACCGGTCAGCTAGTACCCTTATCGGAAACGACTGACAGAGAAATTGGCTCTGAAGACCAAAAATTCTGATGACAACCACCCTTTGATAGGACTGGATTTCCCTCATTTGCAACAGATCGATCAGTATGTAGCTGAGGATACGTGTAGTTCGATATGTGTAGAGAAGTAATTCCCTGAAAATTTCGTGAGCTTTACTTAGCTAATACTCTGAACATTCTTTCACCGTGGGGACGTACTGGCGAGCGACTTTCAATGGAAATGTTCCATTACGCGAGTTTTCAATGAAAGATGCTTACGTTTCGTCGAGCTCTTGACTATCACAATTGTGATAGCTAGATGTTGTGAGAATAACTTCGTACCAAGGTCGTCATTATAAGAATGGCAAGCATGCTGTTCAAAATTGGTTTCGTTCGCGAATTTCCGTATGTAGATGTGGCGTCAGTTTGACGAAGAAGAGAGAGTTCTATGCTGATGTAGTCGATCGCCACTGAATGGTGAGTACGACATGAAATTTATTATTCTATCGCTCGTGTCTGCAAACATCCGGATTCGCCCACCCCAAAGAACCCCTGTGCGCCTTTGGCGGTCTGCCAGCAAACCCCAGGTTGCACCGAAAAGACCCATTCTATGTCGAATGATGCCTCTTTCTCACTTCTATCGGATGAAGGTTGTAATCGAACATGCACCAAGGCCGCGCATCATGAGCGTCAACACTTGCGTACAGGAGTTCATAGAAATCTCGGTCTCAAAAATAACCCTCCACACATCGTCTCTCCAGGGATGGCTGGTTACTGTCTACGGACCACTATCTCATTATCATTGAACGCTTCTGAATCAACCAGGCTGCCGTATCCCTCATAGCGGAAATTTCTTGCGAGTGATGATATCAGCAGTCTTGATGAGCAGGAGGAGGAGAGAATATCGTTTACCTTATCTTTCCTCGAGAAAGAGTATGCATGATTTTATTGCGTTTCTGTGACTTCTTACGCGCGTAGGACGAATAAAAGCGTATGTATTGCGTCGAATAGGGTTCTGTTAGGTTTGGCTCTGGTATGGATTTATAAAACCTCATTATGATTTTATTTCTGTGACTTCTTACGCGCGTAGGACGAATAAAAGCGTATGTATTGCGTCGAATAGGGTTCTGTTAGGTTTGGCTCTGGTATGGATTTATAAAACCTCATTCTTGTATCACGATTCTACTGCCATTCAGGAAGACGTGCACAGCAGCACAAGCCACTAGCTAAACATAGGTGCGATGTATGCGGACTTCACTGACTGTATCGATACAATCCCTCATCAACTGCATCCATGGAAACTTCGCACATATTGGGTTCGATGGAAACTTTGGTGCATCTGGAAACCGATACTGAGTTAAGGTAAACACATCTCTGCATATCATCAAGTGCAGTGTGAGGCCTTCAAAACCCAGCGTTTGGACTCGAACTATTCAACGCCTCCATAAACGGTCTACCTAGCTTCATGAACGTGGATTGTTTGGTATGCAAAAACTAAGCTATGGATGGAGATTTTTTCAGACAACGTATCCTGTATGTTCCCTTTATCTAGACACTAAGATAAGAACTATCTGTAAACCGTCTATATTTTTCATACTGCTAAGTGAACCTGATACTAGTTATCAGTCATACTAAATTAGCGGTGATTGCCTACGATTGATACCAGATTGAAAGCATCGAATGGCGACTGTTTTGTTCAATGCTGAATTATCTACGGACATATCCCGAAAGGCGTCACCAGCCTCAAGATTACGTGGGGCTATTCTACTCTCATGCCCTCACCCATCATCCAATACTTGCCACATTCTAGTTTTTCCCACGTGCAGATAGCCTGGTAATATGGTCAGTAAGCCTGGTTTTCCATACCTTCCAGAAAATGTAGATTGGATCAACAGATTTTAGAGACATCCTGTCCGAAGAGATTCAAACTCGTTTTCTTAGTCTGCTAACATCGCCAAGCAGACCTCATTGAAATTCGTCTCATCTTAAGGGAGGTGTTTGGAACAGACCTGAAGGGCTCCTTAATCATGAAATTCGAGAGTCCCACAACAGGATATCACCCAAAGCAGTTTAGGTGCGCAACTCTCCACTAACAACCCAGCGCCACCATGTTGAACATCGTCCATCAAGAGGCTATTTATATCGAATCAGGGACATGTTTCAAACGAGAGTTTGCTGTTTTCCAGGGCTGAATTGGGAAGACAGTCTTGGTATCAGGTTCAGACCAGACCGTCGCATGAGATGACTAATTTGCAGGATTCACTGTTTTTGATTGGGAATTGAAAGGCTCATATGAGATTCTCAGTCCTGTGCTCTACAATCTACGAAACTTGGAATCAGTTAGGGACTTTGAATAATACCACAGTGTATTCATGATTTGTGTCAGTCGACCGATCCATGTACTCTCTGTGTTCCTTTTTTTGTGGTGAAGTGGTGAAACGGACATCGAGGTTTTATTCCACTTCAATGTCTTCATTTTGCCATCGACCATTAGTTACTTGTTTTGCAGCCCATGGGGTTCATCACATTCTATCTCCCTGTTGCACCGATTCAGTCATAACTGTGCACCCTGCCGCAGTTCTGGAGCTATCGAGTAATCGGTATTCCGTTCGTAATTATACGTATTGTATAGTGACGGTACTAAGCTGCGTAGTGCGATGGTAACGGGCTTCATGCTGATCCAGAAAATGGTCCCGCGCAGCCTCCGAACCAGCGGACAGCTCTGCGGATGATCACAACGTAACCAGGGGAACCTCCTGCATTGTTGATGGTGTGAATGTTGCTAAGGTTGCTGGACATTCTTCGAAACCTGACGAAGAGATTTTAGAAAGCTTATGAGTAGTGTATTACGTCTATACAGTATGTTGACATTTTCCGAAATCGTGCCAACTGAAACTTTTAGAAAGTTATGAGTAGTGTATCACGTCTATACAGTATGTTGACATATTCCGAAATCGTGCCAACTGAAACATAAGATGACCTGGTGCAACATATTCTCTTGCCATAAACGAGTGATTAGGCTGGATTCTAGGTGGGTCGCTCGCCAAAATATAAATTAGTGTGCAAATGAGTATATTTCGTTAAGTATCAGTGGTACGTTTCACCTAGAAACACCTTCTCCCAAATGTCCTACCAACTGCAACAGGAAGTGATCTTATGCAGTGCATTCAGTTGAAGGACATCGTAAACGAGAGATTCGGCTGTCGAGTCCTTCGGATCTCCCAAAAGTACACTTCGTATGTAGAGTCCACTCGCCAAAATACTATTGCGTTTTTAACGCTTGAGAGCCCAGTTAATGGCCCTCTGTAACTGTCCTTCCTCGAAAGAAGGAAGCCAGACTATCCTAGCAGTCAGTGACCGGTATGCAAGCATCTTCGCATGTAACAAGCGTGTTACGTCAGTAAGTCTGCAATGACGAACAACTGTATGGGGTTCAAGTTGACCTCGCAAATAAGATTCTTGGCGAAAAATATCTAATAAACATTGTTTATTTTGCTAGGTTGCACAC